TATTGTTGTTCTGAAACAACCAGACATCTGTTCATGCATCTCTTGTTGCGTCCAGCACAATACATTGTACACTCCTCGGTACTGGAGTCTCCAATACGATCTGTACACTGGAAATACTTGTGACAATGAGTATAGTCTTGCCAGCAAAGACTCCAGCAGTCCCTGTCTATGCCCTCCATCTTCGGAGCCTCGAGGATTTCCGCAGACAACGAAAGTTCAACGAGGCAAATGACAAATGAAACGGCTAAGATCATCAGCTTCATGTTTGAGTTCTGCAATTAATAAAGCCATGGATGTAATACTATAAATACACACAATTCGCGACTCTTTAGGAGTTTTGTTATACATGTCTGCATTTTTTTATAAATGTCTGCAAGGAAAGTGATCTCATACATCAATTGGTTGGGGAAGAATGGATATAGATGAGAAATACATTGATCAATAAATGTACCATACCATTCCTATCAGTACAGTTGTCCACACAAGTTACATGATGTGTCATCTTGAACAGTTAAAATAAAGAAGAACAGTTTCTTATAATTAGTGAATAGACTCAGAACAGGCCAACATATATCATAATGAGGAGATTTTGACATGTTAAAGTATGATATTGTATAACTTTATTAACGCCGATTGAGAGAATATTGATACAAATAGGGTAAAATCGGTGTGTGTGGTGAAAACAAAGACCTTTTATAATGTATGAAACTTGAAGCATGTTATTCATATGATAACTTAACATCAGTTTATGTGGTGAAATATACTTTCTTAATATGTCTTGGTGCAGAAGGAGTTTTACCGATAGCTTATATTTCATATATAGTATTTTTTAACTCTACAAGTGTAGATAATAATGACATCTATTTGTTAGTCTTGCAATATTAAGTAGACGTTCTTACCTTGTTTTGTTAGGCTATCCTTTCCAGAAATCTTCAGTTCTGTCCTGTTGGTGATCAATACAATAGTAGTATCCCACAGTTACAACCGGTATAAATACATCAAGTTATGCATAATTAAACCATCATTAAATTGCTAAATGATGTTATTGAGCAAATGTCAAGAGATTATTGTCGACTGATAAACATTTAAGTTTGTATCATCGGTTTACATCAACACAATAATTGATGATAAACATAGTCATCTACATCATTAGTTACATTGCAGCCTGCAGGCAAAATCACATGCACTAGTACTCAAGTCGGGTTAATTTCCGTTACTTAGATGTGTTATGTATTCAGTTTATGTACTTTGTCTCTGTGGAAAGTAATAGTTTTATTATTTACATATAGGAAAAAAAATTACTATTTGACCAGCAATCATAAGCAAATAGGAAAACTAGTAACTAAGATACTTTATAAAGTGATAAATAAGAATATGAACATCCGAATAATGACTGCTTAAGCTGGCAAACAACCATTGTTTATAATGTAGGTTTAACTCTTGGGTTTAACGTTCTTTTGATTGCATTTGTATTTAACTAATGCACGAGTATATCATTATATATCAATGTTGGTGACTTCCTATTTGAAATCGAAATCGAATTTTCAAAGTGAAAAGACACCTCAAAGTCAATAGACATGTTGACTACCACATGCAATTTACAATGCAATAACACGAACAGCGCACCTGCCTTTCCATCTGACAATTTTTATGGGTTTATAGTTTCTTATCTCACTTCAATTCAGTTCAATTCATTTATATTGTTAGCCTAACGGCTTATGAGATACATGACATATTACATAATACATATATAGTTACAATTTATACAAAGCTCACGCAGTTGTTCAGAAGAGTGACAATTGTAAATTGATACATTAACATACACTGGAAGCATGCGCGCACACACACACACACACACGATATATATATATATATGTGTAGAACTATCACAACAGAGATCCTTGCTTAAACGAAGTCTAATAAATTTACCAAGATTAGATAACTCTTTTACATTGTTAACACTTAGTAACTGGACAAGTTTGAATACACTAGGACGATCGAAATAGTAAGACTCTAGGTACATAAATGTATCTGACTCGTAAGTTTGAATACAAAGGACATTCACTTTGTTAATGTTTTGTGTGGATTTTGAGTCCTAAACTATGGTACTTGTGTGATGACATTATGGTAAATTGTCATTACATTATGCAAACGACCATAAAATCGATCATGCTTACACTTTTGTTCATGTTATGTTCCGATAGCATATATTGTATTTATCCGTCTGTGAATGCGTCTAGCTATAGAATGGACATAATCAAAACATAACTAATAATTTTGCAGAAAGTGTATCTATCACAACAAGTAAGTGTTTATGCACATAGATTGTGGGGAGTAACGAACTATTACAATCGTGTATTTGTTTTGTTTTTAAAAGTACATGTCACATGATGAAGTGCTGACGTTGGGCGAGCACAGTTATATCTATAATACCTCTATAGTAATACTGACATGCTACTGTATTATAGACTATTTTATAATGGATTACTTCCTATGTAATGGATATGATATAGATAAACTAAAATCCATACCCAGCGTAATGTTGTCTGTCAGATATGGCAGGTGTTCAAATCCGACTGATAACAATCTGTGATACTCGTTCCCGACGATATCACAGACAGATGCCCCTTGACCGGACAATAGGCCGTCAGCGTGACGAGCTGTGAAGTGACCGTTATAACGTAAGGTCGACTTTGTCGGTCAATGGGATCCGTAATTGATTGTTAATTTAAACCGTCATAATGATACCTATCATCGATTTACTTATATCAGGTATTTAACAATGTTTAGTACGACGAAAGCTTTACGGTATATTTAATCATACTTCAGATGATTTGAAGGTCACTATGTGAGTAATACAATACGAAATCAAAGGAATTACGAACTTGTACAATATATATAAATTATAATTCTGACATAATTCACTGTACGTTTGAAATGTAGAATATGACCACTTAATTTTACACAGCCTTTTGTGACCTTTCATATGTAAATTACGAAGTTAAAATAGGATTTGGAGAAGAAATATTTGTAGAAATTAATTTTATTTTACAACCACGGTCGTCCTTGAGGTTCAAACAGTTTGAAAATGCACTGTACGTTTGAAATGTAGAATATGACCACTTATTTTTACACAGCCTTTTGTGAGCTTTCATATGTAAATTACGCAATTGAAATAGGATTTGGAGAAGAAATATTTGTAGAAAGTAATTTATTGTACAACCACGGTCGGCCTTGAGTTTCAAACAGTTTGCAAATGTTTTCATTTTGTTGTGCTGGGAAGTGAACGTGCGACCCCGGAGTCAAGTCAAGTCGACTAATAACTCGACTAAGAACTTCTGTCAGGGCTTTAAAATTACCAACGTATGTACTCATTATTTACTCAGCGTTAATTATTTGTTTTGATATGGAGGTATATGAAATGAAATAGAACAACAACTATTATAATGTAATAAGGAAATATAATTTCCTGAAGTCGCCTCAAGCCGCCGCACATTTTGTTTATTTTGTGATAACACTGGTAAAACTATGCGCAAGGTTTCGTCTTCAACTGATCTCTTGTTTTTATGAATGCTGAATAATTTAACTAAGATATTTACAGAAACGAAGTTGAATATGTTTATGTGTGTGTGTGTGTGTGTGTGTGTGTGTGTGTGTGTATGTGTGTGTGTGCTATCATCAAGCTATGCTATGAGGATTTGAAACAAAACGCACAACTCATTTCTTTTTTAATATCTCATGCTTTAATCCACGGTGACACGAAATATAATAATAAAATTAGGTATGTTCCCGATCTTAATGATATGGCATGAAATGAAAAGGAAATGAAAAGAGAAATAGAGGAAAGAAAAGAGAGAGAAAAAAAAAATACTCTCCTATTGATAAGAAAAAGATATCACTGCTTTATGTATGGTTTCCACTAACAAAAATATATGAATACTGTAATTAACTTTTTTGCAATACGTTGGCGACATAGACATGTATAATTCTATAGTAAATAAGAGACAGGCTTCCTTTATACAGTACTTTATAAATATATTAACATAATCAAAACGATAAACAAGTGCAGGTTAGATCTACTAAATTGTAATCAATTACTTTTAATTTATTCGAAATTTAAATATTGATACCGGATTGATGCACACACCTGTTATTCGGACCACCTCGTGTTTCTACATGTATAACTACATAATTGTTCAATTTACTGTCAAAACACATTACGACCACTTCCATCATGCTAAATACCATTCGTCTTATGTAAACAAAGGGTATAGCCTGAAGATAGTTTACGTAAGTTGGTTTTGGATTTTAAAAGGTTGCTTCCGGATTCTTTTTTTCAAATGTCCATTGTGTAATACCCATTCGATACATAGGATTATATACATCTGTTTTTCTATTAAAGCACAACGATCTACATAAAACAAGTATATTAACCGTTTGATATGTAGAGGATATTCTATGGTGTATTCAGTAATAACAAATATATTTCACGAGTGTGGCTAATATTTTGATATTTTTACACGAGTGTGCAGTACGAGTGAAAAATATCAAAATAATATTAGCAACACGAGTGAAATATATTTACTATTACTGATGACACCATTCAATTTTCTATTTATTATTTATTAATTTTAAAACATAAAACATGAAAAATGTAATGCATTAAAAAAGTGCGGGAATCAGAAGCGTAATAACTAGCGCCATATTATAATGACGTCACGCTTGACAACAAGGCTGCGCGCCATTTTGAATGGGATACTCAACGCAATTCCGACGTTTTCTGCTATTTTCTGGTATGATTGCTTATAAAAATGTGATTAATTGTATATTCATGTAAATACTTAAGTGTGAGTACCAAACATTTACAATAACAACCACTTATTCTACCGTCGCTTCATTTGAATCTGAACAAAAAATCGTTGCCTTTGAATGCAGCGAATAGAAGATACCGTTATGATTGGTCAATACCAAAAACTGACTGTGAAAATATCACTTTTGATATTTGTCACAGTGTAAGAGATATCAGTTTTATCAAGTTGATAGAATCCGATATTTCAATGGCAAAAATGTAATAGATATCAATTCTGTTTAACACCTTCATTGGGCTTCCATGTGCTATAGGTAACATTTTCCCACTAGGTTAATACCTTTGCACACTTAACTAGATCAAATGTTCTGACACTTTTCAGTAGAAATACGGCGCTGATATATCTGATATATATTACACTTGAAAATCATATTCAAACACCAAAACTAATCTTTTTGGTATTCATTTCTATTGCAACATGACATTTCTGCAATGTTGTCAGCTCATTGGAAATCATTTCGTGTCAGTCCGCGTTTCTCTCTGTTGACCTTCATGATGACGTCAGCAAAGTACGTTTGGTTTATTTCACTAAAGGATTTGACGAGCTGTTCTACTTGGTCGGGCGTGGCCACTTTGCCACGCCACTCCCACAAAATCTCAAAGATAGTGACAACAGGGGGCTGATTGATGCTCTTGATATCCAGAATATCCTCGTATGACAGGCCAAGCTGGGATCCCAACACTTGCGCCACCTGGATGTTAATTGAACTGGAAAGGGCAAGTAAGCTCTGGTGGCTCAGGATCGGAACGTCATCTGGGGTACAGTATAATAACATGTAATTAATTAAATGGCATTTAAATGACCATTGTTACTGACAACACTATTTAGCTAATGAACAAAAAATCATCAATTTTAATATTTATGTTGTATCAGGTAGGTTATAGTGTGTTTAAGACAACATTTAATTCATTATAATTGAAAACATCACTGTGGAATGGTTAAATACGCGTATATGTGAGATGTACACTGGAAGGACGTTATAAATTGGATGCAACAACTAGAGGATGAACTTATTTTCTTTACAAAGTCAAATAAGATAATATCGCTATGGCAGCCCCTAAACACGTCAAGCGTTTACAAATGTCAATGGTTTGTATTGTCTTTTCTCTATAGCGGCTACATCCTCCACAATAAGAGGAACTGATACATGTATTGTTGATGAGGACGATAAGGAGATACTATCCTATGTGTAGAAGGTAGGTATTTCACGCGATACCTGGATATCAAAAGCCATTTTGTATTTTTGGCCAAAACAAAACATACTTGGCAAAACAAACCATACTTGCCATAGGATAAAATGGAATCAAACACTATAAATGGTTGTAAAATGAAATGTCATTTCATCGACATCAAAGTGTCGCTACAGAAGATGTGAAAAACCAAAATTAATGGGAGTTAATATGTATGTGTGTGCCAGAACAGCAGTGCTATGTATGCTATGAAAACACTGTATACGTTAATAGTGTTACACTGGTGGTCGTTCAACATTGGATACAACTTTAACAGTATCTGACCAGGTGGCTCCGCCTAGTATTTACGACTGTGATACAACATGTTCAATGAAAATCATTTATCGAAAGGCATGAGCCGTTCTATTGGTCGGTATTTATCGTCGACCCGCCGTCTTTATGAACAATTTGATTATTTAGATGTAGACAATGTAAGTCACTTCATCTACGGCATGGCCTACTTACCAAAGATAGAGCGGTACTGGATTGATGACCGGACAGATTTGGTGGATGACCGTGTAGAACCTCGCGACCACTGGTTCGTCCGCCCAATCGTAGCTGTCAAGTACAGTTACTCATTTAATAATTCGACACATAAATGGCGAAGAGCAATGGCATTATAACAAATTACAAATACATCTTATTTTATGGTTTCAATATATAGCGTAAACACATTATAGGATATTGATTAATAATTACGTGCAAGGGCATAATAATTATGTATAATTATTTTTAGATCAATGTGTTTGTTACGTATTGATCACGTACGTGTTCCTGAGTACAGTCCTATCTATAACATAACTCCGCATGGCTCAATAGAATGTTGATTACTGGTTATCAAACTATGTGAACAACATTGATATTTTACAAACGTACTTAAGTCAGAGAAAACTGAATTGGAACAAAAAAGAAAAGAAAAATGGACGTATTACATAAGCCGTTGGTTCTTTCATTAACAATGTCTTGATCTTGCTGGTCTAACAATGTATACGGATCACTTTTCGCTATCAACCATTAACTACATTATTTGATCGGTAGATCAGAAACCCATTCTCACATTGTTTAACTAGGGGCAATATTAATGAACACTCTGTTGGTGAAACAGAACTCAATATAACAATAACTAACTACGAGATATATATTCCTTCTGTTTAAAAATACTCTTTCCTAAACCAGAAATTCATTACATCATTGTTTAACTTTGATATATAACCGTCCTTTATTGGTACTAAACGTTATACATTGGCTATTTCAATTACGTAGTGAATACCAAAGAAGATTGAAATGGTACTAAGTTACTTTTGATGTATTGGCTACTGTCGACTTGAATCATATTAACCATTTAAAGTTTTAACCGCAAGTGTGTCTTTGTTGATTCAACTTTGTAGAATGTTCCTCTTAAATGTTTCAATTTAATTATAATAATGAAGAACCGCAAACTTTGACCACGCGAATAATTCATATGAGAACTTTAAAACGCTATGAATAGAAACCTTTTTTGTCTGTTCACGTACCACAATTCAAATCGAAATGAAGTACTTAAGTTTCTTCAATATATTTTTCTCCAGTACCCGCTTTACAGGTGTGTCTCCCGTTTTATCTGGGACAAAATTAGTTTGTTTTCTAATGCTTGATTATTTCCTGCAAACTATCTGTAATAATATAGCCTATTTCAAGCTATATGTATATTGATTGGTAATACGTTACTGGCCTCTCAACAACAAAGGGTCAGCAATGGTCAAAAGGGAGTTGATGGATCAAGCAACACAAAATTATACAAACAACGTGTTAAATGATATGAAAATGTCTAATTCAAATATTTGGTAGACTTGTTTTAAATATTCGGAAGGACAAAGATTGATATTGTAGTAAATAGGAGATGTGACTCAGGAAATTGGGGTGTTAATTGATCACTTTGGGGGTTTAATTGCATATACAGGCAACTAGGGCTGGATGGTTTTGGCTCTCGTTGTATGGGGAGTAACATGGGAATAAATGATTAAACAGGGTAAAACATGGAGGGCATTGTATCTTACCAAATACATTCATCAGTCCTACAAAAACATTGTCACAGAAATTAATTAATCACTCTCATTAATATCAACGTGGCATTATACACTTTTACACTACTGCACACAAAACCTTGTAAACATTTAACAGCTGGTAACTCTCCTGGAAAAGTTTTCAATACAGAACATAACGATCTTACCTCTTCATACTTTTCAGATTTGTTATGCACATTTTTATTTTGAAATATCAAATATCGATCCATTAACGTACTACATAGAGTGGTATTGTAGTGTAGATTGTGGATATAACTCATGACTGGCTGGTTAGTATATCATAGCACATAGGAAACACCTTAAATGATCTCATGAAGTAAGCTTAAGCCAAACAATTCAGCTTGTCAACGGGAGACGAATTATCACAATTATGCACGAGTCCTTTTATGCGGGATAGTGCTATTTGTAAACATAAACCCAACCCACACATGCTTGTATGCATGTTAAATAGCAATAGAAAATACGTGTAGCGTTTAATTTTTCATATTGTATATGATATACACACATCATATTCATGAATCAAATCAAACGTTTACAAAACATCATCTTTAAATGCAGTAATGTATGTAAGCAAAGGATATAAAATGTAAATGATCATCAAACAATATGATAACACTTCAGCTGTGTGTGTATGTATACATTTACACTCTAAACGGCTACAAGTCACTGCTATTAACCAATTACCTGCTATTTCAATGGAGTTTTTGAAAGGCAACGCATTTGACCGTTTTTTCCTAATGCTGTTCCTTGTGATAAGCTCTCTGCACCACTCCCGTGAGGGGAGTAGTCGGGCGTGGTCCATCATCTCGCCCCACAGATCGTTCTACATCCCATTTACATGGCAAGTGTGTACTAAACTGGCTCATAAACAGCAACGGCACTAGGTTTTATCTTTACACAAACCAACACCCTCATAACACTGACATTGAATTATGTTCAGTCTAAAGGTCTGTGAAATTATTCAAAAGGCTGCGTATATACACAAAGTGTGTATGTGTGGTGTATAGACCGATAGTTTGTTACAGCCCAGCATGAATGAGACCAATTAAAATGTCAGTTTGTTTAAAGGGACCGTTGTATCCGGGCGTATTTTCGTCGGTAAGATATGTTTGACCAATTCATCACCAAAAGGTATAGTTTCAACACAGCGACGTATTGTTTAAAGAAACGTCATTATTATTATGAAAATCAATATATAGGCCAGGTAGATAGTTTTTAAAGGGGTTTTTAAAGGTAGCAGATTTTTCGATGCCTTATTATGCATACACAATGTAAATAAATCATTCAGGTGGCGACTCACTCATTAGCCATTGATCACATTGCAGCGCATTTGTATTTGACTAAACTACCTGAATATGATACAGATAACGAATGATTCATCAATTTCTAAGGTAAAAAGCTTGCAAGAAATTTGTATTATAATATGTTTATATTTTTACACATTTATGGGTCATTGACCTATTTTGTATACTGCGATTAAGAATGGCATTTTATGCAGATTTCAAATCTGGCGTTATTCTTCACGTGTAGGTAATTTGTATATAGAATAAAATTGTGTATATATTAATTATCACCTTATTGTAACATATGGCTTCACTATCAATACAATAAAACTCCGTAATAATGACATGATTTGTCCAGAGAAATTATGGCGTTATAAAGAGTTGGCGAAATTGAGGACATTGTAGTAATAGATTATTAAGAATAGGGATAAAATGACCATGAAAAGTGCTGGCAATAAGCTAGTTGACATATGGAACAAGGGACATTATATCAATGTTAACTGTAATGATTCGATCATTAATATAAGAACAGGTCCTCCTTGTGAACAGTTACACAGTGGAACCCTGACAGGTGTTGGACTTGTTTCAAGCCTAACCTATACAAGGTATTATCTGACACTGATAAAAAGCTATCAACACGTTAGTCAAACCTGGCTTACCACCTTTGCAATTTATTTACTTGCCAAATATATACACATGGTCTCCTCTTATACGGGTAGAACCTATTTAGGGTTCATTTGCATATTGAATCTCCAGAAACGGTAGATACGTGTATTTGCTAAAGTAAGTATAGAAATAGGAATTATCTACATGTGCTATTTAGTCTGACGGTAGACAGGTTATATTTGACAAAACAAACATTCAAGCTTCAGCTAGGGATACATTGTTAAGCTGTAATAACGATAACCAGTCTCTTACTAACAATTTAAAAGAACATAAAGTGAAACGTGGTTACATTTTAATGGTATTACAATATACATCAACCCGAGACCCGTCTGTTCAAAGTATTACCAGCTTAACGAGTCATACACCCACAATTTCAAAAGGTTTGTTCGGGCAAGTTTCGTAAAATTTATTAACATATTTCTTTTAGTTGATTTAAAAAATTCTTGACTCGAATCCATAAACATACAACTGATTTTTTTTATTTGAAAATTTTGTTTTGTATTAGATAAAAGACTTTGGGAACCTGGCCTTAGGGATACTAGATAGTTTCTGTCGGTATTTCAACCTCTGTTAAACTGGGCCCCAAGGATACCAGATAGTTTCTGTCGGAATTCGAACCTCCATTTTTAGCTGGCCCAAGGGATAACCGAAAGTTTCTATCGAAATGTTAACTTCTATTTTAACTGGTTCCATGAAAACCAGAAAGTTTCTGTTAGTATTTACAACCCATTTTTTCAACTGGCTCAAGGAATACAGAATAGTTTCTGTCGCGGTATATATGTATTCCTATATTTGCAACTGGCCCAAAACAAGATATTTTCTGTCTGAACTCAAACCTCTTTTTTCAGTTAATTTGGTTGATCAGTTTCTTGCTATCTGATACGTATGGTGATCGTGTTTTCTAATTCAATTATGCGTATATGTTATAATGATAATAATAATAATTCGAGGTTCTTATTTACCGCTTTGCCACAGCCTAGTCAAAGCGGTTCACAAATTATTATCCTTGCAACCAGCCAATATCTTTCCCAACTCCCTGGGGAACATACAGCCGGTGCTGCCATTTCGGCGCTCACAGCTAGCATTCTACAATTCTAACACTGCCCAACCACGTACTCATTTACAGCTGAGAAGACTGGAACAAGCGGAATAAAGGATCTCGCTAAAAGATACAGCACAGTGCCGTGCCGTGACTCGAACCCGCAACCCTTCGGTAACGAGACCGGCGTCCTACCACTAGACTACCGTGCCTCCATATATGTTAAGCTAAAATAGCATTTGTAATGGATATTTTGAGAGAATAGCAATTCACTGTCATAAGTCTTTTAAAAGGAACATATATGATATTTTATTGATATATCTAATCAGTAATATGTATATCTATAAATATCAATAAGATATATCCTTCAGTGTGATCTTGGAAGACGAAGTGAAGTAAATAAAACATTTTTTCAGGCGAATATTGATTACAAAAAACACCTAAGACAAGCATAGCAATATATTTCAGTTAACAACTTTCTGAAGTTTCCACAAATTGTTATGCACCCTTTTTCTCTAATTAAGGTTGACCATTAAAATGGAACTTTTAGGCATTGTCTCATAACGCAATATTTAAAGATACTACACTTACCTGGCCTACTCTCTGAGTACGATGTTTTCAGCCTTGACATGCTGACCAGGAAGCGGTTAGTATCGATGGTAACAGTGTGTAGAAACGTATCAAGTCCATCGACTTTTTTGAAGAAATTTACTATACCAACATGGCGGCCACGTGGATCCTTTCTAGGCTCTAGGGGAAAGGAGCGGTAGTTATCCCGACAACTACTAGTATAAATGATGGAGAAATAGTCATTAGGAATCTCCCTGATTTTCTGTATATTTCCATCAGTATCAAAAGTGACTGTCTCATTTTCCTTCAGTCTGATATCAATGGAGCGGTTGCCTGGAATTTCAAACAGTCCCTCCTTAGCCCGGCGCCTCAGTGCCCGCTTGATGAACCGTTTTTCCACGATCTCGATCCAGATCTTGACTACACCGACGTGCAGTAGGCTCTTATCAAGGAAAGTAAGGATAGAACAGATGTGTTCCTCCTCTAGGTACAACCGCAGTTCCTCTTCCACCATGCTCTTAGACTTTTTCATGAACTTTTTCTTCACTTTGGCGAGAGCGATCCTGACAAAGTCAAGTATAGTTAACGATATATTAACAAAATCTTATTGTCTTTGTTAGATAGTGTATATCAAATAAACAAAAAATGTATCAATGATGTTGATAAATTTAAATAATGTTTAGTTAATATTGTTTGAAGATTTTGAAGTGAATATTATGCAAAATATCTACAATATCATTTATCATAGTCTGATATTTTAAAACTGAAAATATATGTGACATCTTCGTTAATACAACGTATTATTGTAATGAGATATTTTCATTTATGATTGGGTATCACGTTTGATTAAAATGTTAGGATAGCTTGCTACTGTTCGTGTATGGGTTATCTCTCTTTACCTACCAAATGAAGATTTGTTTATATGTGGCCCGTTGCCTAGTTGGTTTCGAAACGTTGAAACCGTTCAATATATTGGTTTTACTGATCAATCTTACTCAAGACACGAACCTCTTGTTCATGTAAATAATATGACCTGAATCATTTCCTGTGATGTAATACGAATAAATCAACCCATTCCACTGGTTATAATAACTATTTGACTCTGTGATACATATATTTTTCTATCTAACTAAGAAATTAGTTTGGTAGACCATTCCTAATAATTTAGAATACGAATAGTTATGCTTATAGGTTATCACAAAGCATGTTCAGTGTTTAACGCAGGGAAAAGTCTCATTGTGGGAAGTGGATCAAATCGAGAGGTTCCCGAAGTTTGACTCGAGTATTAGCGATGAGAGTACTGTTTGTGATAATCCATTATCATGCCACTGGTAGGTGATAAAAAGTAGAATATATGTGATTTATAGTTAAGTACAGTTTATATTAGCTGCGGGTAGGAGGTTATAAAGTAGTGTATGTATAGTAAAGATACAGTTGGGCTTACCCGTTAAACCTGTCTACTTGAAAGGTATAGCAGCTTGTCGTCGACTCACAGCGCATGGCAGACTTCTTCTGGACTATTTCAGTGCTATCGTTACCACCTACTCGGAACATGACGACCTCAGAATCCGGGTCATCGATATCATTAATGATTGGTAGATGCATCAGAGCTGGCTCCTGTAATGCAATATTGATATAATAAATTAGCAGGATTTTGGGGAGGTAACATGTAAGAAGATTCTGATCGAGGACATCTTTTTGTCTAAACTCAGAATTTGTTTTTGAATTCATACTTTGCCATTGTGTGTAAAAGCTATAATATTGTTACAATATTTTTACTATAGGGCATTGAATATACCAATGCTTTCTCGCCACTGCAATAAGCTTTTGAAAATAAGAGTTACAACGACCGACTTGCATCTTTAAAGTTCCAATAATAATGCATTTATAACACACTGGTGTTTAGAGAGAATAATGGAATGATTCTGCTTTACTTGTATATCGATGTCTTTGTCAAACTTGATGAACAGGAAGTCAGAGAGAGCTGTGATAGCCTGGCAATGGTCTGTACAGCTATCCTTGTACCCAAACATCCGGGACCTGTTCACCATCACTAGCTGAAAATGCAGGATGTGGCGAACGATTTATGTATATATATATATATAGAATCTTACTGAAGCGAGCCTCTGGCGAGCTTAAATGAAAAATTCGTGATCCTTTTTATCACATATTTAAAATTGTGGCATTTGTTCGTGTAAAACGACAATTTGCATGCAACCTTGAAATGTAAAAAGCTTCCATTTTGACTCCAGTACGTAAGTCAGTGACGTCATGTACTTGTCCTAGGCGTGATGTCACAATTAAAACTTGCAACCAATCACAGGGCTGATAGGTCATATAACATGGGTTTAAACACCAAAAAACATGGCATGGGTATATTCACTTGATAAAAAAGTACATTTTGTGATTAATCAATACAATGTAAAACTGGGGGAATCTTATTCTCAGATAATGCACATATCGGTCACTAGGTGGTACTTACCCTGAATTGGACAATAACTGGCTTGTTGAAGCAATTGTTTGGGAAGTTGATCCTGACTCTGTGGTCATCCTCAGAAATATACGTGTATCCTGTGAGAGGGATTTCCCTGTGATAGGCGCGAAACCCAGCCACTGCCACGAACGCCTGAAGAAACTTGGCTTCGAACTCTACCTGCCCGTCCTACAACACCAAATCACGAGGAGCATTCATGTTTAAATGATTATTCTGAAATGGTATTTTATCAGTATGAAATATATGGGTGTTTCATCAGTAATGATAAAGTAAAAAGAAATCGAATTCCTACTGATTGGTTCCTGCACTAAAATCAAAGGAACTTACTCATTAGAATATTTAGTTAGAATATTTAGTTAGAGTATTTAGTATTTGTTTTAATTACTCATTAGAATATCTAGTTAGAGTAGTTGTTTTAATTCGGGGTTATGTAGAATAACACTGTACAGGTTTCGATTATTTTGATACATGTTGTGCACAATCTACATTCAGGACACTGTTTGAAAGGGTATAATCAACAGTAAAAGAAACACCAACATGATGACTTTAAGTTTATTTATTTTATTATATATCTATTATTCTTTTACTACACAGGGACTATGCATTTTCACCATATTATACGGACTGATCAATCGCATAGCTGGATACGATCTCTTTTAGTGCGGTATAATACTTATTGCTATCCATTAACCCATCAATGAATTGAAAAAACAACACATTTTGGCGCTATTTGACGCTATGGTAACGTGACAGGATACCATTGTTGTTTGGATTAGCTTCGCCATCATGGAGGGACGCACAACAATACATTATGTCATTCTGATGTCGCATAACATAACAGATTCTTGCACAGTCATGAATAATGTTATGAACACTCGTGAGTGTATTCGTCCACAAAGCAAACCCGTGACATATCAAACGGCAGATGAACAGATATGTTGGGTTTTGCTTATCTACACTCGGTAATTGATCGAAACATGAAGCATACAATCCAAATATGTGTACTGTATAGTCCTCTTTTTCATACTGTTAGGTATGGTTAAGCTTCGTTAAACATATACTACCATCTGTCGCCGAATGAATGTTTCGCGTTATACATGAGGTATCTTATACATTGAGTATGGCGTATAAAGGCATTATGATGAAAAGGAAAGGGGATATTGAAAAAAAGTTTGACGTAAAAAGGTCGGTTATGAAACGAATTTTTTATTTTTGTTTAACTGCCTATCGCCCACTCCGATCAGACAAATGTCATCATGTCGAGTTTTCACTGAATAACAGTATAAAATTATCTACAACAAAATATGGATACTGAGAATAATGGCATACAAATATAAATTTGTATCTTTACTTAAAATGTAACAGAGATGGTGTATTTTGACAATTAAATTAATGAATTTGAAAACAAATTTATATCTGTGTTACTTACAATAATCTCCCCTGCTACATCCAACCATTTCGGTCCACATTTGATTTTGACTTTTATCGCCACAGAGTGTGGAAGCGCTACTTTTGAGATTGGAAATCGCACAGTGATTCTCTCAGAACTCTGAAACGAACTTCCAGTAATAAGGAATATGTCCGAAATCATATGTTGTCCATCCTGTAACTTCAAAGAATCTAGAGTAACCTGGCGGTTTTCCATAGGGCATCTGATGACATCACAGTAGGACACATCCCCTAGATGTTCACTTGGTTCCAAAGCCAGGACACCTTCGCCCATTTCCAATGAATCAGCGATTCTGTAAACATTAAACCACATTACTTCATGCCATGAAATTCAAAAATATGTTCATGTAATGGAGTATTATATGCGGAATATTTAGATTTCATCAAAACTGTCACTCGAATATTGACCGTCATAATTCTTCTTATAAGTGAATTGTAATCTTATCACTATTTTAATGTGTGGATTTTAGGTCACATTTATATAAGCCAACTTAGTGATAGCAGGCTGGAAATTTGTTGCGTGACCTGCATACATTGTATGAAAATCACAACAAATTTCTATTGCATTTTAACTAAATGCGATTTTAGTCCCATACGTTAAGACAACCATTGGTTTTTGTCGAGTCCAGTTGGCTATTGTGGTGCTATTAAAGTAGTCTGAATCGTATGATAAAAGTGTCGTATTATACAGCCTCTACGACAAAATTGTCACTAGAGTTGAAGGTATTTGAGTTGCGAAGCTCTTTAATGGTAACACATGCGTGCGTAAACAGAGTTGCTTCCCCTTTCTACACCTTGCCCTTGATTGTTTTCGTCCGGAAGTAGCCATCCAGTGGGGAAACCGGATATGTATCCTTGAAGCAAAGACAATATTGAGTTTCACCCCATACATGAACATCTTCATTTAGTGAAAACAATACCCATTTTTATTACTTGTTTATTTAGATAAAAACTATTATACATTCTGTGTGAAAAACGTCTATCACCTAAATTTTGATACTGGAATGAAACGTCGTTCAGAGAGTATCATACGATGACGTCACAATCACGCCACACTCCATCGGCCTTCATCGGTTATTTCCGGAAGGATGAAAAATAACCGGGAAATCTTGGAACTGATGGCCGTTGCATTTATCTCTTTGTCGTTGCTTCATGACTTTTTAATTTCAGTTTTTGACACAGGCACAAAAATCAAAAACGCGGATGTTTTCTGAAGATCCTTTTTGTTATCAACCAGGTTCTGTTAATATTTCTACCGGGAGATATTTTCAAAAAGAGACGCATTAAACCAATAGGTAATCGTGTACATCTATTTTTCATCGTCTAAAATTTCATCAGCTTTTGATTTCCATTTATTGAGGATATGAACGAAATAATTAACATTCCGGTTATAGTCTTTACATAATTTATGTATGCATCACCACTCATAAAAGAAACAATGGATAATTCATTTATGTCGAAATCAACAATCAACGCCCCTTTTCAGCAACGTATAACTTATAACTATAGTTACAGACAGCAACTGTTTAATTGTATTTGGCATCATTACATGTTAAACCTCATTGACAGTTACAAAATTTTAAATTCAATCCGGCGTTTCAGGATGGAACAGGAATTCTAAACATCGATAAAACGACAATCTCAATTCTACATCAAATTATTGCAATGTTTTCCGTTTTTTAATTACATTTTTTTAACTAACAAATCTGTACATTTACTTTTATAGACATATGGTCAAATATGTAATATGCACTATTAGCAATTACCAAACAGTTTTTTCCCACTTTATTTGAATCATTCTTTTGTGACCTCACGGAAGCACGCAGAGGATTTAATTCTTAATGTGGGAGGAAGCCGGAGTATCCGGAGAAAAACCGCGTTGTCGGGCAGGTAACCGGGATTGAATCCGGCCATCTTGGTGAAGACGAGCGCGCTATCAACGGCGCCGACCGACCCATCATATACGTTTCGCACAAGAACAACTCTTTACTTTAGCTTTGAAAATGGCTTCATTGATGCAAAAATTAAATTGTGTATACATTTTTACCAATCATCAACGATGCAAAAAATCTACCAATAGGAGACCGGGGAAAGTTGGGCCACTCCTGATATTTTTGTTTTTGAGCTAATATTTACAATTTTAAAGATCTTAGCAGTTTAGTTGGCTAGGCATTCAATGAAAAAATGGCAAGGAAAACTCTAATGTAATATGACTAAACAAATTACTTTTGAGAAAGATATTCATGATCTCGCTTCCAGTGATGCGAACTTTCGCTAAAAAAAAATACGGTCAAACGTGTAACACACTGACAGCCATGGACATAAAAGCAAAGCCAAACACTCACTACCATATTGCTATACGATAAGAATTTATTGAATTATCAATTTGGGCCCGGACAGTTTCAGCCAATGATATCGTGGCAAGTTCGGCCCATGTTACACATAAAACGTCGAAAAGTTGGCGGTAAAATCTGACGTTGCATGCTTAATAACGTAATAGTTAAGCTGATTCCAATGGGGCCGAACTTACCCGAATGCCGACAGTTAAAAATTAGATAATGTTCAAAAACAGACGTGCTGCCATACTTCCCAGAACGGACTTTAATGAAAATGGGCCGAATTTGCCCCGATCTCCCCTATTGTTGTGTCGGTCTTAATCTCATTAGAGTTTATGTTTTATTGTTATCCCTCGACTAGCCGACTTTAGATAAATTTTATCTTGCCTCATTCTAAAAGCTGTATTATCTCATTCTAATTCACTAAAAATCAGAGATCAACAAAAACTTCGCTCTTTTAAGGCTTTGCCTTTTCATATTATCAAAATACACTTGTATAGAACATCCTTTGATAGATGATTTTTGTCATTTTCACCTCCACTTTTTAACTACTTTTACATCTTATGCTTTACAAATAATGTTGACCCTAAAATTGAAATGACCTAAGCAAAATTTGTCTAATAGCATATATTGGTTCTATCTGGTTAGTAAGTTGGACATGTATGTGCCAAGAAACAATGGTTGTTCCTTTTTATACTTGTACTCTTAAATTATGTAACTTTACTCTGCCCTGCAGACAAACCTTGTTAACAATGCATTTGTTTAGCGTTATTGTAGATTATTTATAACATAAACATTCAGTTTAACGTATGACATTCTTATCTCAACGAAAGCATCTGTTCCCGTCTAATTTCAGCTTACCCTTTTGTTTTTCCTATCCCAAAGAACGCATCTGTACACAGACTTCCAACTTTAAACATGAGTTGTCTATATTCTTCTAACGTTACACTGAAAAATGAATTTATATGGGCATCATATATCGGCACTTCAATAAAAAAATCATAAAATATAATTACAAATGTAATTAATTAAAATTCATATTAGTTAAATTCACAATCAATCAATTTTTAAATTTCACAATAAATATTTGCCGGTTTTGACCTTCTTGATTATGAGACAAAGAGATTACACCAACATTACTGCTGAAATGAATACTTTTGCAAATGAAAATGCATGTGAAGCCTCACCTATGTATCACATAAATGTGTTTATTTAATGTCGGTGATGATTAAATGTTATTTTGATAATCACTTTTAATATCTGTCTTGATCCAGCTGATTACCAAATTGTAAATTGTATCTATTTGATATATTACAAATAGTTTACACAAGTCTAAAATGTATACATTACATTAAGAGTCATGTTAACCTACTGGTTTGTGCCTTGGGTTATGATAATGGATATCTCGGTCACAAAGCTGGTGAGGCTGTTTTGTATCATGCTTCTCCTCTGGCGGGCCTGGTCATTTTCGTATCTGAAATCAAACTTAAATGAGGTAATGTCGAACAAGACGCTGACTAAAACTTTGTTTTATTTGGTATTTTCGGATAATTTTCTATAAAATAACACCAATAACTTTAAAACAGAGTGCAACAATCTTTGTGATAATAGCAATCATGCATAGACTCACTTAAGCCTTTTCAGCAGGACTTTAGCGCTCCTCATCAGTCCAAGTATCCCGGACAGGAAACTGGAATAAACATGGCTAGCCCCAGGCAATGAGCTGTAATTAGATACCAAGGTTTATCATAAAAATAAGCAATGATATAAACGTGCACCCTACGGTCTCTTTTACTTTGTATCGTTTGAATGGTAGTTTCCAGACAGCCAAAGTCTTCATAATTGTTAACTTTTTAAAGCTGTTTGAATTATTTCAAAATATATATATAAATACTAGTAGCTACTTCCGTTGCCTGTTGTTTTATGCTACATACTTACTCTATCTCTCTGTCAAGACAATTGAATTTGCAGTGAACGCTCATGGCATAAAACATTCCATGTACTGGTCGCAACAGAGCTAGGATATTCAACTTGAATCTGCAGAAAAACATATCAGAATAACTTAAAATCCCAATATCGTCTTTGCAGTGTGTTTCAATCTACATATAAAAGTTAAGATAAAAAGTGATATGTCAAGAGTAATAAATTGGGGTACACACTTACTTATTTGTACGAACTGTTTAGTAAAACCACTGCAGTAAAATATTCTTTACAAACTCTTTGATGTCTTAGTTTGTCAATTGCCTGCTATAAATACCATAAGCAATATTTCACCAACAGTGGACAGCATTTAGCAAATATTTATATATATTTTGCAAGCAAGAAAGGATATTGAAATCGGCCCTAGGTACAATTGTACGCATCATTTGGTTAAAAAAAAAGGGAAAAAGTAACAGCATTTGAAAAAAAGCAGTTGTCTTACCTTTGAAGGAAAAGAGACATGACTTCCCCGTATAAAGAGGCAAGGTCTGTCGCAAGCTCCATCAGTTCAGAAAGGATCTCTTGTCGTCGTCTGGTGATATATAAACGTTTGTAAAACATCAATTGTCCTCGTAAAACGAATGAAAATTAAAAAGAAAAACGATATAAATATATAATGCAGGATTACTCCAATGAAAAAATGTTTCGGCTTTACTCATTTGTTCAAAAATAATTGTTCAGTGTCATTTTCTTTTTGGTATTATAATATATGTATACCCAATCATAACTTGTTATCATATATTGTTGTCGATTGCCTGTATCACTCTTATCAGTTGTTTAAAATATTTAGATCAATACACTTTGATGTTGCTTGATGTAGATAGTTCATGCAAGACCCATTCATTACCCGTTCCCTCCTAAACTGAGTCATACTAAAAACGTAAATAATACAAGTTCTTATTTATGGTATATTTTGTTGGCTGTTGCGTTTGAGTGCAATTATACATGTTCATTCTGTGGAAGCTTTTAAATTTGTTGATATGTGACAGTTAGGTTTAAAATAATTATATAATATACAACATTTGCGCCCAATCTAGCTAACATACGCCACTCTAAAGCGATTTACAGTAAATAGATATACAATTAATACAATTAGCATATACATTAATCAATACATTTTTGAGGAATTCGCTATGTATCTCCCTATGTGTGTATGCCTGCGTATGTGCTGGAGATGTAATGTGTTCTGGTTGTAGTGGAACCGTGCTTCCAACGGCATCATTTATAGTGCCACCTCACTTAAATGCTACTATACCTCAACATCCACCCCAGACCAACTTATACTCCACCTGGGTTGTTAAAGTTGTATGGGCAGGAGTAAAATACGTTTCTTCTCTGAATGTCCATGCGTACGACGACGTCAGGGATTGAATTGAACCCCGGCCGCCTGCGTGAAAGGCCGGAGTGTTAACCACTCGACCAATCCGCCCATAATATGAGTATGAACTATGATATTAAATGTAAGATATCGTCTGTATTTAAGTCGTGAAGGATGTTAAAATACAAATGCATTACCAGTATTCTGTGGAGTGAATGTGCTAATAAGAACTTACTCCTTCCTTGTTGGGTCTTTCACGTTATTCCAGATTTCCAAACACCCATGAAACAACATCTGTAGGCCATTGATGTCCTTTGAAAATGATTCCACGTCGCTGTCATCATAGCTACAATGTAACAGGTGATGCTATTTAAGCAATAAATGTTGATGACAAACTTAATGCAAGTAGAAATGTGTGTTAAGGACCATAACAATATTTCCTTAAGTATTCATTAGTTATATTTACATTGTGATAGAGTAGTACCGCCTTATTTAGTTATTTCCAGCAGTTCTTTGAACAGCAAATTAACTGTTGACAACAATGAAATTGATGACGGTACTATAGCAAATAATGTTATAGTTTTAGATATAGAAAGATGCAGAGCAAATGTAAATATAAGGGTGTAACATAAATCTGGTTGTGTATTAAACACAGTCCAAACTGTGTTAAGAGAGCACTCTTGGGAAGTCCTAAAAGTTGTCTCATTACACATGTTGTTTCTTTATACAGGGTCTGTTCATTATGAATTCACTACAGTGGGGAATACTAAAAGTGGTTTCTTAACACGGGTGGTCTCTTAATAAATGTGGATGTATCATAACAAGTTTGAATTCATAACTCAGCAGCATAATTAATAATTAATCTCCCGCTGTTTTTACCTAACCATTATTGGAGTCAGCACTTTATTTGCGGGACAAATCCTCTGTTTCTGATTTCTTATTAAGTACAGCCGTTTTAAAACCCATTTCATATTCATGCAGCACGTGGAACTTAAAAATTAGGATAGTTTCGAAACAATCAATAATCATTTTATACCAATATGGTCTATATGTCATTTTTATTGTTGCTTTTATTGTCATTTTATGGTATTGTCCTAGACAATATATAGACCGTGTTAGGGTTGGGGCATTCCACCATCGTTTTTTTCAGATTTCTTTTTCCATGTGCAGGCTAACAGATGTTTCGAAATTACCTGAGTTCATTTCTTTACAACATCAAATATGATTTTTGACTACATAACATACGAGATAGTTCTTTGGAAAGGGATTTTTAAAAGAGTTTCATAAATCTCCTGCGAAACAATATTACAATAAAGATGTTTCTTAACATTTTCTTCAGGTTGGTAAGTATGGATTATGAGAAGTTCTTTGTACACAACCAATAAAATGTTCTATGTGACGTTTCGATGACTAGTACGATATGTACACTGTCACCTTCATCAGACAAATGACCATAGCATACGCTTCATTGGTATTTGTCTGATGAAGGTGACCGTGTACATAGCGTACTAGTCATCGAAACGTCACATAGAAAATGTTATTGGTTGAGTAAAAAGAACTTCTCATAATACAATAAAGATGATTTTAATCATACAAACATTGAGAACAGTACCAATATATAACCTTTTTACTCAATATCTCTGAAACCTATGTAGTAATAAATCATTGTTATGTATTCTATCAAGAACTATTTAAAAATCACTTCTCTGTGAACTCTTTATCGTAGTAAGTGTCAATGTTCTTTGTTTAAAGTGTCTTTATAATTACATGTTACATAATGTAAAATCAAAAAAAAAGGAAGTCAATATTTGCAGGTAAATTTATACTGTAAAGAAGGATACATACTTTTCTTTGTCTCTGACATTTATTCGAGTTCGTCCAGTCACGTCGATGGCATCTGTGATAATTTGTTTCAGGGTTGTAACGTCTTCAAATGCTGGACTGCAGAAGCAAATTTTCACAATAAAAATGTAGCATCTATTGTCAGCTAAACAGAAATAGACCAACAAACACTATGGACCGTATTTATGAAACTGGTCTGATGGTTCCAAATATACAGACTAAAAGAGGTCCAATACAAATATATCAGCTTTTGAATCTTGTTTCGTTTACGCTGACTCATCGCTGCACAAAAATTATTTTTAGGGATCCTCATACCACTGCCAAAAATGTTACAATGCATTTAAACTAGGAATTTTGGAAAAAATCGTTCCCTACAAGACTATAAAAATATAATAAAAATGAATTAAACAGAATGGGTGTAACAATTCAGCGCGCTAGGCAGCGATTCGAACCCAAGACTTCAGATTGTTAAATTATCGTTCTAACGACTTAGATACCTCGTCAACGGAAGTGTAACGGCCCAATTGTGGGACAGGTACATGTATATCCAAAAAGAAATTAATGGGAGAATGCTGCTGTTTGAAACACCACCGTGCATTGGGACAGCTCAAAACGTCGACAGTAGAGGTTAAAGAGACATGTGTTTATGTGTTCTCTTTACGTCTGTGGCTTACATCGGCACTTACTTTTCTTTTTTTACAAGAGTGCACCTTTCTTTCCACAGCCGGTCAATATCCGCCTTGACCCGATTTAAATCCCTTTTTGTCACTCCAAATATTGTACTAAAATAAATATAAAAATAAAGAAATGTAAATATTGCATTGCAAAGTCGTTTTAGATACTCGATGTTAAGGTGTTTGAACATCTGTTATTTGCTTATGAAAAAAACAGAAACTAGGAACGGCATCTATTGTACATGCGGTGCATTGTAAATATACAATTACACATAATCCAAAAATATTATTGCTTGGTTTAAGTGTGGTTCTGAAGTAGTTTTAAAGGTTCTGCTCTCAAATAAAGAAGTTATCAGCTGAGCTTCGGGAAACATACATGTAAGGCAAATAAATCATTTGCAAAACATAACAGTTTTACTATAATGTCCGATGACACTTTCAACCTGATTGATTTGTACTTGTTTGGTTTGCTGGATCGCGTATAAAGTCCCATCCTCGATATCCAGGGGTTACGCTTACTTTCAGTCTCTGCACCCTGGAATATGTCATAGCAAAATAGAAGGTACGCGGCTAACTATTTGATTGGTGTCGGGTCGAATTCCTGACCAATCACTTGGCTGATACTGTCCTTTGAAGATTACAGAGGAGCGACGCCCGGCTTCAAAGCCAATAGGATTTACGTTACGCGACCGTAAGATTCTGCTTGTACACCATATGATCAAACTAGTCTTCTCGTCTCGCCCACAAGGTTGTGCAAACTGAGCCTTCGATTTTGTTATGACATATTCCAGGGATGTAGAGAACGAAAGTGAGCATAACTTCTGGATATCGAGGATGATAAAGTCCTAATCACAGTTAAGGTCATTTAAGAACGTGCATCCATATGTGTAATGTATGAGTATATGCATGTATGTTGGAAGGAACATATATGTCTGAGATCTTGATTGCAAGGATTGCTAACAATATTTGGATTTGGTATGTTTATCAAGAAGATAGGAATACTAATACCCAATAGGTGATGGGAACATGCCAATTTTAAGCTATTATCTGAAAATGATATCTGTACTTGTCATCGTTCCTAATACATGTATACATTTATGTAACAGATAATGAACATGTAACACAAGTCTTATTTATGATCAGGAAATATCTCACTTCAAACGCACTGACGCAATAGTAGTAAATTTCCGTAGGACTACGATGGACACGTGTCATGCTTCGATCTAGGAACAATCAATATATACCCTATTTCTCTTACTCAAAGGAAAACGATCAGTCTCGCAATGTTTGAAAAAAAAAATGTTCCTTTATTTTACAGTTATGTTATGTACTTATGTTACAAGTATATCATCTCGAAAGTTAGAACCAGGGTAGTGACAATGAAACTACAATACACGCTATTGAGTGTGATCAAATTTGTCGATATTCTTATTAGATTGAAAATGTATAAGCAACTTGAATGTCGTTCACAGTCTAATAAACGATATACTCTACCAAAATAAGATGGACAGTAAAAATATCATTTTATCAGACTCATTACCATATAATGTCTATTCTTGCACATTCCCACCGAGGGCTCTAAACTCTTCCAGACTACAATTCTTATTTTCATGTAGACCTTCGTTTTGATATACGCTTTCCCGCCTCAAGGGTCTAGGTTTTTACCAGCGCTGTTTGAAAATGTGGACGCTTTAATGTAAAATAAATGTCACGCAAAAGAACACACGTTACTATTCATGATACCATAAGGTGTTTGCAATTCTATCTCGCCCGTTTCGTCTATGCTATAGACTTTTCGCCTTAACAAGATATATTCGAACCTTTTGGTCATTGACACTTAAATAAAAATCTTTAAAGATGACCATTCGTTTCTAAGCATCATTCATAACCGCAACATGTGATTATCAACACCTCTACCAGATTCTAAATAGGTGTTTTCGGAAAGAGCACCGTAGTACTTCCAGGAGGAAGTTCCTGGCGATCCATACATGAGAACAACAAGATATTATAGAAATATCAGCCAGGGACAATTATAAAATCAAGTAACTCAGAAACTGAATCGTAACCTATATAAACCATGGGAGGTTTGTCTTAGCGTTTCTACTTTATATAAGTAACAAATGGTTATCAGCAGCTCTACCATGTGAGGTGATCATACCAAAAGGTCTACAAGATCTCAAAAGGGAGTACAAGGTTGTCATATCTATACCAATGGGCTCACGACTGTACTTGCGATACTAGCAACCAACTTGTACTAAACAAATGCGTATAATTTCTAAATATATCTAGCATTAAAAGTAGCATCCTAGTCTACAAACAGGCAAAAACAATTAGTTTAACGATACGACATTATTGACTATTGTACAGGTATAAATATTGTATTACCTTCTACTTCCCCTACTAGAACAACTGGTCGGTCGTAATGAATCCTCACGGCTGAGAATTTTTCTATTGTCTGCTTGAAATATCGCATAATGGTAATCCGACTCCATCATCGTCTTTCATCATAGTTACACATTTTGTATATATCACACAATATTAACATCGTTAACACGACAATCACTATACAAAAATATCCCCAGCTTTTCCTTAGGAAAGAGTAAATCCAGGTTTGAAAATTTAGAATATAATTCCAAGGAATTTCAGAATATTATGTCACCATTCTTCTTTGTGTCATACTTTTCATTTTAAATATTTAAGGGTGTGCATGACCTTCACCTTGTCACGCACAAATACCTATATATGTGGTGTTTAATATAAGCAGCGCTGCAATACATGGTCAGCGTTAGGTGTATGATATAGAGCTACTAATCTGATTAGTGAAACAACGACTACATGTGTATATGCCACGTCATTCTGAGACCAGTGCTATATAATGTGTACTTGTATACAACTGTCAAATACATGTACTTAACATTTCGGTGATTAAAGGATCTGTTTGACCTTTTCCGTTACAAACACCTACGTAATACTTCATTTCATAGCAATGCTACTATTTGCTGTATATGCTTTTGTTATACAGTTCCAAACAGTTTTGAGGGGCTACAGACTTGTTCCGGGTACAACCAAAGGAGGACAGAAATATGAAGTAATATGAAATATTAAAGTTCTAAACAAATTTTGCTACAGCCTGTAAATAAGGAATCATATTTCCTATAATTAAAGCTGGACTAAATATTTTTGATATTTTGTTGATAATCATCTTGGCGGTCTATCAGTAAAATACCACAGATACAAGCTGTATTTGAACAGTATCGATTGGTGCACGTAACATGATACTCATTGAAGCTTATTTTCACGAAACGGTTCACGAAGTATATCAATGGTAAGGAGGTCGGTTTTTACCTTTTTCGTATATGTTTCACCCACTCGTTCCTATAGTTAAGACCTTCAGGTTTGTTAGTCCTGAACTGGACCTTCTTGATAACTGCACTTCCTTCCGGCATAATGTAGCTTTCAGCTCACCTTTATTGATTAAGACAAATGTATGAGTTGGTTGAAAGTTTCGGTTTAAGTAATATTCATTTAATAAACCAACACAAGTAAAATGCAGATGAGTAACTCAAGAAATGATAGTATGCTCTGAGTTTTTATCATTGGTAAATTGTTCATGTGCTATAATTATTAGCCATCAACACAAATCTGTCGCACGTGGACAAATGATTATATATGTATGCGTGTGATTGATAATTACATTAATATATAAAGGAAAAGGAAACCATGTGACATAAATTGCACAGATATCAACTACAATAGAACTAGTAATACCTCCTAGTACTGTTTCAAGGGTATACGTATAAATCTTTCCTCAGTTCTTTTTTGACCTAGTTTTATCGAATTTGAGGTTAAATTATGTTATGCACAATTTTACTGATTTGTTTAGAATTAAGCAAATGAAGATATTCTACATGAATGTGGCATTATTCTCTGTTTCAAAAATGTCCCACTCATATATACTTATAGAATATCTCATCTGGGAAACAAATACAATGTAGATCAATTAGCAGAGTGAAAACGTATAAGCCATACATATTTATAAGATAATGTCGATGAAACGAAATTAAGGGAGTTAAGTCTGACATAAATACGATTTGAAACGTTGAATGTAACATAAAACCTTATGTCAAAGGTATCGAGTTTATGTCGTATTGTTTTACCATCATCGTCATTGTACCTAATTTAAACAAGTGCAATCACACCACTATTTTCAAGTCGCTGCTGTATTGAAAAATCTTTTAATCACCAAGTATAAATATTTAATATGTATGTATAACAAACGCAAGCGAGCATTTACCGAAAAAACTACATTTTAAGATTTTGATGTGTAACAACATTATAACATGACACAATGGTCAGACTGGGATGAGTATAGACGACATATCATTGATGGCCAACCTACTAAGCTACCTGGCCGCTCCAATCAACCAATCAGGTCACACTACAGATAGATATACAGTGTTAGGTTTCTTCCTAATGTTTAGCATTTTGTTAATACGTTCATGTTTGTCGTTTACTGAGTGGTGTGTTGATTAGGCCGTTTGGCACTTAACCTTAAATATTACATGTCATTGGCGTTTACTAGTGGTTACGGAAAATTGGTAAAACATGTTCTACATTCATTTTCTTCGTGACGAAATTGACATGTTACTCTTACTAACATATGGATGGATTATAAGATTAAAATTAAATTAGATTTCCTACCCTTGCATTTTGTTTTTGTTTTCTTCTTCGCACTTAACAGGTTGATATTATAAATCAATCGCATAACAAAGTGAATATACAGTGTGACATAGAATGAACAGGTCCAGGTAATTCCAAAATTCACTCAAGCACAAAAAGTTTTAAAATCAAATGTAGTTACTTACTTTCGCAGGATCGAGTTTCATTATGTTTAAAAAATTAAATCCAATTTAATCCATTTGTTCATTTTAAAGGTCACTATCCGTGAGCGCACACTGTGTCGTCCATTGTACCAGGTTGCTACGTGAGCTCTCTATGTCAGGCATATACGGGGATTATAACAACCACAGGCAAGGATTTACTAATCATTTAATCTTAATACTTGATTTGCCACCACGTGATCAGCAGAAAGAAGGATTTATAGATATTATAGACACAGTCTATATGTATAATAAGACTTGAGCGACCAAATATACTGAAAGTGATATTCGAGAGTTATAACTGATTATTAAGTTTCTTTTTGTATATTGATAGACAAGCTAATATTTGACAATGGCACAGTTATTACTTTGCATTGATCACTGGTGTGATATACATGAGTACCAGGAGTGTTTGACCATACCTGTCAATTTCATACGTTTATTTTTCATTGAACCAATTTGGTATTTCCTTGCTGTCTGAAAAATGGGCGATGCACATCATTACGACATATGGCCATATTTAGCGACTGTGAGCAAAATATATTCAGTCAAAATGTATGGTTGATGGATCATCCTTGCGCGTCACTTTGTTAACGATATCCTAAAATATTTGCATGTTGTTATATATTCAAAGTTAAGTTATAAATATGTATGAAGGAGTTTAGATGGGTTTTTTTTCTGTAATCCTATTAAACTTTGCACACGATTTACAACAAGTCTTTTACGCATCAATATTTAGGGGTATGTATAAAAATAGGAATGGTGTTAAATAACAGAAATTGTGTAAACGTTATTTAAATATATTCATGCAGATAACGGCTGCATCTAAACCAGGTGCAAATTCCATCAAAGTAGCAAGTCTACATAATATTTCGCAGAAGATTAATAAAACAACCAAATTTAATATTTTCGTTTCGGATTCTTTCAATCACAAATACCTGTTAACAAACAGGTTTCATCCTTAGCTTAACATGTCCTGAATAACATTCTATAAGAGTTTATGAATGACTGTCTGAAATAAATATCGGTTCATAGATCCCGTATTAAATGGATCTTTATGGTATTTAAACATTTTGTGAGGTTTTTTTCTTTCTTTTCACTTATTAATAAACCAACTCCAAACATTGCTATTCTGTGAATAAAAATGTGTTTATTTGTTAATGAGTTTTATTTTTAAAAAATGATTTCAAGTATCTGAAGCATTGGTGACTGCATTTCTCTCTTTAAGCATAAAAATGCTGTGTATATATCACACGAACTATATAATATTATAAAGCTATCTCGTATTGGCAAGTTTTGATATGCTTCGGAGAAATCCTGATGACAGATGACAGTAGTTCGACTAGTCAGGAACATTGTAGTCTATTAGCCCAATACAAGTATTCACCTATTGATGGAATATTGCCTGTGGTCATTGTGTCTTAGCCAGAGACAGTAACAAACAGCACATACCAAACTATGATCAAGGATTTTTATCACTGCTATTGCAAACTTGTTGTCCGCTTGAAAATATGTGGTGTTTTTAAATTAAACTCTAAATAGCAATTCATGATTTTAAAAGGATATTGAATTCTACCATTGAAATCCAAAGGACCATTTTGACCCTTTTAAAAAATTAAAAGAATAACGTTTGTTCTGAAATATTTTAATATTTTAATTTTAAGAGTTTGTTTATGTTGTACACCACCGATATATGTCTCAAGGATAAGTATATGAATTCAAATTTATGCAAATACAAATGCTCGTTATCTATAAGTATGAAGAGAAAATAAATTTCAACAAATACCAGTCTAAGAATATGAGTAAAATGACATTTAACGTAAACGCATGCAGATTTGAAAAACCAATAAGTATCTCGCTACTTTCTTTGTTTTGAATATTCAAGATTGCCACTCAATTCAATGTATTATTAAAACCAGGAAACGCAAAACAAACCCCTATTACAATGCACAAATGTATCCATTGCTTATAAAAAATGGAAATATCTCTTGATATTTTTATTTTTATTTTTCACTTATACGATGCAAGTAAACCATATCAAATAGGTGTACGAACATTAATGCGAAAATAATGATTAGATATGACAAATATCAGAGATAATGTTAATAAATATATATTTCAATGAAAGCAACTCACAGGAACAGTTTGTAATTCAGCATATTTAAATGTATGTTTGAAAAACAGTTTTGCTTGTCTCCCGTAGTCATATTTGAGGCTTATTGAAGTCACCTTACTCTTTGTAACGGCATAATAACCTACATACCAAATTTGATCAAAAATACTCAAAATGTATATTCCACCTATCAGTGGCCGCGACGGTCATCTTGGAGGAAGAGCTGCGAATGCTCCAGGAGAGCAGTCGGATAAGTGTACGGCAGAGGGGGAAGAGGAGAAAGAAGAATAAGTAAGTAGAAGAATAGAGAGTACAGCAGTAACTCTCCAAACATCGATTTGGGGACTCCAGCTCGAACATTTTTTCAACGTTAAATAAGTTCACTTCATAGGACAAAATACATCACACATCTACTCAGAAACGATAGTGATGCTCTCAATTAATTAACATTTTACTATGGGATAAGACGAATCGTCATCTTGGACGCTTTCAGTGCTTCAAAACGGGCGCTTTCAAATTGGTACCTCGACATGGCGGCAGCGTCTCCTTCTGCTGATGGTATATACAGACAGGTTTGCCCTGTGACATCTATTGTACCACCACCCTCCTTGGTAGCTCATTGCACAGTTGCCAGTAGCTCCATCGTTATCGTGGTCTCTGTTACTAAATCGCTGTAAGTTGTGTTCATTCATAGCATTACGAATATTTCCTGAGAAACCAGACACAGTCAAGGTGTAATTATCACTTTCAGATGCATCAGAAAATATTGTAAATGCTGCATATTTGGATAGACCTGTAATGTCTTCCATCTCTATGCGGAGTTAAACTATGCTAATTTACAAAATAAAGCAGAATGACAAATAAACGACACAGGGAGACAAAAAAACAAAACAACAAAAGCATGAACTGACAAAAGAAATCATGCATTCACAATAATCTGTAAAGAAATTCTGAAGGTGAGAACAGATGATACTATCTACAGCTGTTTATTCTTATTAATCAATGAATCAATACAAGAATGGAGAAATATAATATAAACATGTTACAGATAATCTGAGATACCAGACAATCCATACATATTTTGGTTAACTTTTGTAATGGAAAGACTTTTAGGTATGTACCAATTATAATTACAAATTAAAGGTGTATGTAACATATATATGAAATGAGGTACTTGTTATGTTCCTCTCAAAAATTACATTTTTCATATATTTATTCAGTGTCTGCTTGTACTATACTGTTAGATCGTCGGTAGATAGTGTATGACGTATGCCAGATCAAAGATTTCCCCTTATCAAGCGTTTGTTGGATCTCCGAGTATTGTATTGTGTTTAGATTACGACTGTAGCCTACCATCCGACTGCCTTGTTTCGAACTTGTGGACAATTTTAATAATCTGCCATACTCGTCAAAAACATATGAAATTCGTCGGGAAACAACCAAATATCCTCCTTTAGCATTACCATTTTTAATAATCGATAAAGCAACAACAACAAAACGTTTAATATAAAATGTGTAATTATACAATAAAAAGAAATTGTATAAATTGTTTACATCCCCTTTTTGCACTGACTTCGCTGCCGTGGGATTTTGTCCTCTATCATCCCCGTGTAAGTCCAAATACTAAAACATCCATGTTGGCTAACTCCATCGGCAGTTCCGGAGTGCAGACTGGCTCTTTTGACAGACATGACTGAGCCAATCAGGTAAGAGTTGGGCAGAGTTTGTAGTGATTTACCCCTCCTGTCATCACAATAATCATTGAGTTGGGTGAAGCTTTACTGACTTTGACTCACCAATAATCAAAATAAGCTTAGAGTTGGGCAGAGCTTGTAGTGCTTTGGCCCATACCTGTCATCACAATAAGCATAGAGTTGGGCGAAGCTTTACTGACTTTGACTCACAATTGCTCACAATAAGTATAGAGTTGGGCGGAGCTTGTAGTGACTTGGCCCCACCTGTTATCACAATAAGCTTAGAGTGGGCGGAGCTTGTAGTGACTTGGCCCCACCTGTTGTCACAATAAGCTTAGAGTTGGCGGAGCTTGTAGTGACTTTGCCCCACCTGTTATCACAATAAGCTTAGAATTTTTGACCTGGCCCCATTTATATGTTAATACCATTGAAAGTGTGGATACTGCTTTTAATGAGTTTATGGAAATTACAACAGGAATATTTCGTTTTACAAAATGCAACAATGATTTTTGGATCGGTATTATTAAACAGCTTCGGCTCGGAAAATATACCTGATGTCAGAGAACTAGAAACCGACCATAGACCCCAAACCCTTACCCAATTGTACGATAAGCATTCGTTTTGAAAGGCAATTGGTCGACGGTTCACAGTTTTTGTCACTACGCAGTAACAGTAGTCCCATGATAGCCAAGTATTTTAAAAAGTGTGAAAACAAAGGAAACATTGAAAAACTACAAAGGCAATAAGACCATGTGAAAAAGCGACTTCTGTCTCATCGACGACTCCGACCATGCAAATCTAGGTCGAATCTTAATGATGTTAAAATCCTCATAGGATGAACCGGGGTAGTGTTAACAAATCAAAGACATCGACCTTCATATCTAACACGAACAAGTAACCTACCTCCGAATGAGATCATTGTGGACGTATAGTGCAATCGCCATGCGAATGATCCATTGCAAGTGACAATGACATTATTAGCATACTGTATCCGTATCTGACGAAAATATATAAATAAACAGTCCTGCATGTAAATTATAATCATTTGCATGTTTGATGTGATATGTGATAAAAACTGTTTACAAATCAAATGTAATTGTCAGCTACGACGGAAATCAGTTGAAATAGCTTAGTGCGCTTTCCATATAGAATATATATATATATTCAAGGTAATTTGAACAGATTATTAATTGTCTCATAATTTGACACGGTTAATCGATACAACGAGGTATCATTTCCCACTTACGACACCATGTTACTTTATCCCCCAGTTCTTCATTGTGCGCATATCGTCCGCATATCGGATGTGCGATCCCAAAACAGTATTTTATTTTGTATATATTTTGGTATGACCAAGTCCATCCCAACGATGTTACATATTCAAATATCTATAACTAATGTTGATATGACGTCTGATAAAAAGAATCATCACCCAGACGTTGTATGAAGGTTGCCGACGTCGCAATCAGAAAAAATACCTATCCTAACTGCATATGATACATATCAAATATAATCGTACCAGATACACTTCAAAATACAACAAAACTGATTTAGCCTCAAAACTTAGGCACACGTGTGTGCACATTGCAAGAACGCTTCTATACATTACTTCTCGGTATCTTTGAACACGTTTTGATTTTAGGAAAAACTATAACTGAACAATTAAATTTCTTATGAAATCTCGATACCATCACATATGGAACAGTCGTCGGGCCGACACTAGGGAAATGTTATTTAAGGATTAACTTGAATAAATGTTTCATGTTATGGAGTTATAACACACAAAAAACGGAGTGAAGCGGTTTTATGCTGAGAGTACACTCAGCATACAATCAGCATTACAATCCCTGTGGAAATCCACTTTCATTGATGGACTCTTTTCTCTTAGAAATTATTGCGCTGCTGTATCGGCCAATCAATAGCGACGTTACAAATGGCGACGTCATTCTTTTACGTTATGGGCTGATAACATAAATGTTTAAGCCAATGAAAATGCTTAATACAAGCAAGATTAAATTATATATATATATATATATAATAAATCGTATCAGGCATATTTTAACCACTTGTTTCAGAGAAACCGTTCGTCTGCGAAACGTCATATTTAGTTTATTTAACGTGTGTTATTTAAGTTCAACTTTATGTACATTCTCTTTTGATGTGATAAGTGTCGCGATGTGTCAGACACTTAACTGTTTTTGTCGGCAATTTGTAAATTGTGAAAATGGTTGAGTTCCAAGTTGAAAGTATCTCTGCAAAATGTAAGAGTTCTATAGAAACAAATTCTCGTACTTCTTTTTGTCGCCATGTTTTTTAAAAATATTTTGTTTCTATATGAGGATGCATAAAATAAATAGCTTACCAGGACTGGTAAAAAGACTAGGCAAGTTCTTTTCTATTTCACATTCAATGTATTGACGATGTGGCTATCTCTAAATAACAAGACATGTATTTACATAGCGGATCGTATCTAGGATTGGCGTCAATAACACTACTGACTCTTATATCGCTTTCTCCGGTCTTTACAAACAGCATGACCAACAGGGTCAAGTTTCTATTGTGCTTTACAGTAAGCGCCACGACTACGAGTTCCTACTTGTGGACTATCTCTTTCCCGATAGCAACAGCCGTGAAGCCCAATCCTTTGGTGTTTTACAAGAGCATGCTTCGAATATCATGACACCCATGACAGATGTCAACTGCTGATAAGCAAACGAAAAACACAGGGTTTACAACGATAAAGGGTGATGAAAATTATGGACAAGTTTGATGGTTGCAAGCATGACCTCATCGGGAACTAGACTATTGTTGTGTTATGAAGGTAGCTTTTTATAATGCTCATTAGTTAACCTTGTTGTAACTTTTCCAGTTCTCGCTATGAGGACGTGACATAACTTGAATATGACTTTGATTTATACTAGGTAGTGTTGTCGATGACGCAGAAGACGTCTACCCTTCTTGAACACCTGGTCTTATTATCCGGGTAAATGTTTTAAGGGTTTCTATATAAATATTTTCTTTGTTTATATTTTGACCTATTTTCATCGATTTTGTGTTCTTTGCTTGCAGTTTGGTATTGTGTTTTCTTTATTGTTAGCATCATTTTGTTTCAAATATTCTTGAGAAGCTTTATCAAAATACAAGAGGCAATGGCGGTACCAGGTTAAAGTTAAAAAAAAATTAGAAAAATATTTTTAAGTAACATTAAGTTTGACCGAACATGCAAAAATACGTATGTCGGAGGGACGGAAACACGAGAACATTTCGTAATGGAATACAATTAATATAAAGGCTTTTAATGAAACAAACTCGTGTTCGATCTTGCAGTCTTTAGAAGCCTATATATCCCAACAATAACGGAATAGGTTACTTTAGTCTATGTTAAGAAAACCACAATCAGAAAGGTTTTTACGACAACGAATAACAGACTCGTTCGTTTGACATGGCACTTTAATATGAATAACAAATGAATACATTTAACAAATAGTGTCTTACCACAAACGATATAGATACTTGATAAAATGAACAATAAAAACACATATAATTCTGCAAAATCGATAAAGCTTGAACAACATGACTAGCACTGTGTTTGTCATATAAAACAAACAATGTAGTTTTAGAAAACAGAACCTTCAAACATTAAACATAAATCGATATATTTATTTGAATCTGGTACTTAAACGGACATGTACCAAGTGCATACAAATATGCTGTTAATATTACAATGATAGCCGTTCCATAACAATACACCCTCTCGCTCTACATCCATGTCTAGGTGTTTGACATGCTTTATTGTAACAATTTGTATTGCTTATTGCACATATCATTTTAACTGTCGCCGCAATCGATCCAGACAAAACTTATCACGGCAATCATTGCAATAAATACTAGAGACGTTATTTGATATGAGGTCGTCCTGTTATGTAACACAAGCATGACAGTGTTTCGTTAGCAAAGAAGTCAATTACATAAAGTTAATTACACAGCCCACCAGTAAAGGCATTGCAGTGATGACGCTGCTACAGTTATCTTTTTCTTTGAAAATGAATTTCCAATTTATATGTAAGGTTCTTGATTCTATTCTAAATGTATGCCTATTATTGATAAGGAAAAGGACAACCATCGTGTAGATTGGAATTCCGAAACTTCAAATGAATTCTTATTTACAGCATTCCATCACTGGCTCTTGTAGTTGCTCAACCAAGCCATTTTCCAAACTGCGGACTACATGTACCACCGTTAGCCCATTTGAATCCAGGTAAACTCGTGTTGTGACGCTGTATATTCCAGAAGTGGAATTAATGGAAATTTGGATTTTAAAGGGTTTAAAACAGTTTGATCAATCTTGAAATTTTGGATTTTGAAGAGTTTAGAACAATTTGATCAGTCTTGATCATTCTCTCCTCCATCACAACTTCTGACAGATACATACAGGTTAATGAAGACTACTGACCCGTTTATGGTCGCAAATATGATCTTATTGATAAATATACTATACCATTGTGTGATATTAAGGCGGATGTCTTTGATTAGGCTAAGTCGTGTACCTTTTTATTTTGTTATCACTACCCATGTTCTCACTATCAAAAGATACTTTGATAATCACTTCATATTAATGGCAGTTATCGTCAATGGAGCAGAAACATAACATCCTTCTTCCAGAACAACTGTTCTTATTCTCATTGTACTTTGACAAGGATCCATGTTAAAATGTCCAAGGTACATATCATGGCATAGTTTTGTCGATTCAGAGTTCTAAATAGGGTTTTATGGACACTTCAGTATTTTATTCTCTTGTTTCTCTCTCAGGAATTAAACATCGAGATACTATTACTAAATAGATATGCGACAAATGACCTCATCGACAAAATATAAGGATATAATAATAGCAATACAAACAAACAACAACAAAACTTGAAGAAACATTAAAGCATTTTGAAAAACATCATGCATTCCCATACTGATTACTGATTTCTGCCATTTTGGGGTTTTTCTCTACCAAACAAGAAAAAGGAGAATCGTTAACTTCGTTATTTCGTTCATTCGCCACAAAGCAAAAAGACGAGAGTAAATGGTTTGTTTAAATAACATTCGCTCATACATATAGCGATATTATGAAGTTCCGACATTGCTGCAATATCAGTTACTAATATTGGTCGACATTCGATTAAAAACTAAGCCATGACTGCCGACGTCGCAACAAGAATTAAATGAACGTAAATGCAACGACATGTGCCTACTGGGTAGCAACAGGCTGTACCAATGATTCTGGTTTCCATTGCGTACAATTGTCAGCTCCAAACCTTACCATAGAACGAGACGCGTTTCCATGACATCGACAACAACCCATGTGGGCAGGATTATGCAAACTTTCCTTGGACGACACACAATCTGCTATCAGATTGATATATAAATAATTCTGAAGCATTCAAAAAAGAAAATAATCCTTTAAATATATCTTCAGTGGTTTGCTTCGATGTTTATTCAATGAACACGTTCTCAACTGGAGTTATCATCTCAAAACCTGGCCAGAATAGAAAGGTATACAGTACATACCTATCAACGCCTATCATTTCGAGTTAAACAGATCCCACCACTGTAAGAGTGATTCAATGAATTCTCTACGTGAATTACATACGAAAAAGTCGTCGGGAAACCATTAGATAAGTGATTTTCAAATCTTATCAGGTGTGTTTAAATCACTTGTGGAAAAGAAATATTATTATATGTACAATGGATTCTTCATCCATGCTGTTCCAGTAAGTATCCAGATCCTTCCCTGTATTTGTTTCTGTGATGCCTTTCAAACAATGAAAACAAATCCTCAACGCCAGTTTTGTATTCTTAATTGTTTGAAATCTAACTTCAAACGTCTTGAATCCTGATGCTTAAACAGTAAAGTGCATATTTGTTTTTCTTCGCTCTAAACAACATCTGCGCTGAAAAAAATAGATAATAGGTACACTACAATGAACAATCATGACGTTTCCTACTAACGTTGAAATCATCCGTATGCCAGCTACAATTGCTATTAACACGGACGTATCATCATCTTTGATGATTTCAGAGCAGAATGACCTCCGCCGCTTACGAATCTGAACCACGACATGGCTTTGGGGTCATCTACAGTTGCTGGTTTGTACGGACCGTTGAGGTTTGACTTGTGACATTTTGTGTACCACCAACCACCTTGATAGGTAGTTGCACAGCTTGTACTCGCTTCGTCATTGTCGCGATCCCAGGTGCTAAACGGTTTAAGGTGGTGATCTGATAATGAATTAAACACAGTTCCAGTGAATCCGGATGCGGCCAGCGAGTAATTCTCACTTTCAGATGCAACAGAAAAGACTGAATATGCTGCATATTTGGAAAGACCTGTAATGTCTTCCATCTCTATGCGGAGTTCATACGAACCTGACGAGGTTAGTTTGTACAGATTCTCGTTTCCAATCCAGTATTCACCATAGGGGAATCCGAATCCTTGCTTGTATTCTTCCCATGTTTTGTAAAAGTCCAGACTGCCGTCGATTCTGTTTTGTATGACTGTCCATCCTCCGCCCAAAGTATCCATGTCACAAAACACGTCAGCCATCAAGGAATCACTAGTTGTAATAGTATACACATCTGAAGGACTCCCCGCTGGCAACGAGTGACACATCCCGATATCTCTTGAAATGTACAGGTTTTCATACGGATTACTATTTGTTTGCATGAACTTGCACGTGTGATCGTCAGCATCTATCACAAAGGCATCACAGTTAGCCAGGTGACACATCAGAGCACATTGCGTCCTCTCTATATCACTCGGAACCTCGGAAACTGTAAGAACGTAACTATCGATTGTTTTCACATTATAAAATGTACCACTGGCTTCAGTCGGCATGCTTGAGAGAAACATGATGTACATGTATAGCGTGTGATTGACAATGAAAGTATTTATTTTCATTGTTGATTCCTGTTGGAGTAAGCGAAAGAGATTTGATATACGAACGTAGTCTACGACAGAAAATTACTTATATAGTTTAGGGATACCTGCGTGCACTTTTATACTGACAGATCATCGATCAGTTATAGCAGACACCTCTCAGTTGTGTAATATATCTAATGAATATCGATTTAACATTTAATAATATACACTTAGGCCTTGATAATCCGGCCAAATTCTTGCCCAGTAAAAGTAAATGTGGGGAGGATATACCACCGAAACAATATAAAGCCAAATTTCCTCCTTCGCACACTAGCCAGGTATTCAATGGGAGAAACGTGTCGTTTAAGTGGGGGCTAGGTTATTGAAGCGTGAAGTGCATATAAAGTTTGAAACAGTATCATGTTTGTATATACTGTGTAGTGCTTACTATTGATGGACATATATTCATATACACCGGAAGACAACCAAAGACAACATTGAAACGTTTTCGGTCAATTGTGTTAGGCTATTACGTAAAAAGGAGCCCAAGTAACCCGACACTAATGGAATGGTGCACTTTGTTCGCCTGGTGTATTTGACTGAAATGAGGATGGTTTCCTGTTTTTTGGATATGAATGTCTATGTAAACACGCACACACACAGACAGCAATGTTTTTAGGATAACCATAGCAGAGATATCAATAATTCAAGGGAAAATGCATAACTAGTTTATTGACCAGGACAGTTTGAAGAGAATAAGTTGAATAAATATGAAGGAGCTTAGGTGATATAAATACATTTTTTTTTTTAATAATATTGGACTCACTGAACTTTTATTAATTTACTGGGTTCTTTTTTTGGGGGGGGGGGGGGGGGGGGGTCATAGAAGTATAGATTAGGTGACTGGGCTGGCATTTCTTATAAATATGCAGCTTTACAAAAAAGAAACAGACAATTAGCTGGTTAGGATTTTAGTACTTCAAAGTGGTTACAACGACAGCCGTTTGATGACAATACATTTTCTCGCGTTACTTCGATGTCTAAGTGTTTGATTTGCTTATGTGTAAGAATTTCTATTCATTGTTGTATATTTCACTCAAAATGTTGCCGCAAGCGAACATGTCAAAAATTATCAACAAAATAGTTTCAATAGAACGCAGCGACGTTATGCGATATGAAGACGTCCTGATATACATGTTACCTTATCATTGGTTTGTTTGTTAGCAATGAAGACCTATAATAATAATAATATAATAATTCGAGGTTCTTATATACCGCTTTATCACAACCTAGTTCGAAGGTCGTCTCAAAGACCAGCGTGAAGTTGGTTACTTATTCAATATTGGTCTAGCCCAATATTGGACTGGACCAATGTTGGGCTGGCGCAATATTGGGCCAGTTGGATATTCAATTGTACCTAACATAATAGTTTTTATGCCGCTTTTTCACACCTATACCACAACTGGGCATCTTCCAAGGTATCCACATGCAAAACGGCATCAACGATACCCCAGGTTAAAGATGCCCACTGGGCATCATTTCGAATTTCAGTATATAATCGATAATTGTTCGTTTTCAACAGGCCACGGTATATTGTTATAGGTCTTATGCCGCTTTATCACACCTATACCACAACTGGGCATCTTCTAAGGTATCCACAGGCAAAACGACATCAACGATACCCCAGGCTAAAGATTACCACTGGACATAATTTCGAATTTCAGTACATAATCGTTAATTTTTCGTTTTCAACAGGCAACGGCATATTGTTATAGGTCTTATGACGCTTTTTCACACCTATACCACAACTACGCATCTTCTAAGGTATCCACATGCAAAACGACATCAACGATACCCCAGGCTAAAGATGCCCACTGGGCATCATTTCGAATTTCAGTACATAATCGACAATTTATCGTTTTCAACAGGCCACGGCATATTGTTATAGGTCTTATGCCGCTTTATCACACCTATACCACAACTGGACATCTTCTAAGGTATCCATAGGCAAAACGGCATCAACGATACCCCAGGCTAAAGATGCAGACTGGGCATCATTTCGAATTTCAGTACATACTCGTTAATTTTTCGTTTTCAACAGGCCACGGCATATTGTTACAGGTCTTATACCGCTTTTTCACACCTATACAACAACTGGGCATCTCCTAAGGTATCCACATGAAAAACGAAATAAAACGATACCCCAGGCTAAAGATGCCCATTGGGCATCATTTCGAATTTCGGTGTGAAAAAGCGGCATAAGACCTATAACAATATGCCGTGGCCGGTTGAAAACGAAAAATTAACGATTATGTACTGAAATTCGAAATGATGGCCAGTGGGCATCTTTAGCCTGGGGTATCGTTGATGCCGTTTTGCATGTGGATACCTTAGAAGATGCCCAGTTGTGGTATAGGTGTGAAAAAGCGGCATAAGACCTATAACAATATGCCGTGGCCTGTTGAAAACGAAAAATTAACGATTATGTACTGAAATTCGAAATGATGCCCAGTGGGCATCTTTAGCCTGGGGTATCGTTGATGCCGTTTTGCATGTGGATACCTTAGAAGATGCCCAGTTGTGGTATAGGTGTGAAAAAGCGGCATAAGACCTATAACAATATGTCGTGTCCTGTTAAAAACGTAAAACTAACGATTATGTACTGAAATTCGAAATGATGCCCAGTGGGCATCTTTAGCCTGGGGTATCGTTGATGCCGTTTTGCATATTGATACCTTAGAATTAAGATGCCCAGTTGTGGTATAGGTGTGAAAAAGCGGCATAAGACCTATAACAATATGCCGTGGCCTGTTGAAAACGAAAAATTAACGATTATGTACTGAAATTCGAAATGGTGCCCGGTGAACATCGTTAGCCTGGGCTATCGTTGATGCCGTTTTGCATGTGGATACCTTAGAAGATGCCTAGTTGTGGTATAGGTGTGAAAAAGCGGCATAAGAACTATTATGTTAGGTACATTTGAATATCAAACTAGCCCAATATTGCGCCAGCCCAACATTGGATTAGTCCAATATTGGGCTAGCCCAATATTGAATAAGTAACCAACTTCACGCTGGTGTCTCAAAGCGCACCTCCGTAATATAAAATTTCATTAGAAAAAGAGAAATCCAAAGTGAAAACAATAAAATATTAACCACAACGATAACATATAAAGATAAAATATTAACTCCAAGAAAATGCAAAAAAAACAACAGCAACAAAGACATGAAGAAACATCAAATGTTTTGGAAAATAAAATTTTGAATATGCATTCTCATATAAATCTGGGGTGAAATCAGTTGTTCCAAAAGAAACGTTTATGTATCACACAGCTGGAGACACGTCCTCGAACAACCCTCGCTATTAAAAGGGCGCAACACCTTATACACCAAACCAACATGCTTCACTTTTCAATCCAGTATATTACATATATTATGGAGTTAATGTTTTTGTTTAATATATCTTGTGCGCTTCACTTTATATTGATTCAATGTCTATTGGTGAGTTAGTATGGACTTTTTCTTTCAAACCCTGTTATTATTTAACGGCTTCAGCTTGTTTGCGTAGGATGTGGCAGCATCACATCATGTCGTGTTTGTGATGAATCCCAGACCGATATCAATTTAAATACGTAATATCTGTCCTTTCGTCGTGACTCCCGCTTCCAGTCACCAACCACTTCCTCTGTTTTATTTTGGAGAGGACCAATTGAGCTGTTAAAACTCATTATCCAAACATTTGTATGTTTCATAGCACTGCCATATGTTTAAATGAACCTCCCAAGGTACATCCAACCGCTATAACATCATTAGTATTAGTCGCAATGCTCGTTCCAGCGTAAAAAAATCAGCATGTGATTATGAGAAGTTCCTTTTACAAAACCATTGAAAATAATGTATGTGACGTTTCGATGACTTGTACGATATGTACACTGTCACCTTCATCAGACAAATGACCACTGAAGCGTATGCACACAAAGGTGTAAAATGTGTACGAGTTGTCAATAAAATCGATGTCGATTTCGGCTACGCTGGAAACGTTTGTATAATAGTTGTTATATATGTACCGAAATGACGCAATTCAGCTACGCTTTGTTAACACTTGGTCATAGATGTGCGAGTCTTTGAGCCCCTCGTCTCGATTTAGAACTGGCCCACTGCGGCGTATCCGGATGGCTTCCTTTATCTGCCGCTTGAACAGATTGCTTTCTCTGTCCAAAACTTTGGAGTTATCCCGGTTAATAACAAGGTTTTTCTGTGTTGCAACTTCTACTGCTCTATATAGGCTTTTAACTCTTACTGACTGATAGTTTTAATTGATCCATCCTCAAGATGCATCAGTTTGAGTTTTTACTTACACACAATGATGTATTTATTCTTATAAATGCTACAATTTGTTTCTGATACGTTTTGTCTCTTGGAACCTTATTGTGGACTGGTATAGCCGGTTGAATGTGTGTGTTAAGTGCAGTCTATAAATAGAAACCCGCGCATGCCTGGTGGACGTGTTAACGTTCCACTATATAGGAGCACACAACAATGGTTCTGATTATTTTCCCACTGAAAGCACTGCATGACATAGTGTTTATATGTTAAGTCGGTTATCTATTTCAGAACTTGTTTTAATTATTATGAGTCTGTATTTTTCTGGGTGAATGCGCCGTATTGACCAGTAATATTAGTCAAGGTTTTCTACCGGGGTAGCTGCAATCCACGTCTGACATTCACAATCAAACCTGATTTCGGTGTCTAAAAAGAGTACTTATTTGGTCACTTTGTTTAATATAGGTGATTATCTAAATGCAATACTTTCCTGGGCTTGACAGGACAAATAATGATTGGTATGTTGATTAATTCACCCCCTTCCCTTGTCGATTTTAGACACAGTGAACAGAGCATTTAGTACGTCTATATTTGGACCTAAATTAAGGTGTGAACACCTCAAAACATGTAAAATTACTCTGAACACCTTAGTTTAGGTCCAAATATAGCTGTAACAAATGCTCAGGTCTCTGTGGTTTTAGAGTGCATCTCGCTGAAATACCACTCCGAAGGTACTCATACTCTATATAGATAACGGGTACGCCTAAACGTTACCTGTCGTCCTGATAGCACGAGATTTCTAGTTCAAGAAAATATTGTCACCATTGACAATTTCCCTTCCTTTGTGAACAGGTCCTTATACCATGAAGAGTATTGTTTTTCCGAATAGGATTTTAGAAATCAGATATTTTTTGAACGGCCGAGTGACCTTTAACTTAAAGCATTTTTTATGATGGTTTTGATATATTATATATATAAGTGCATTCATGTAGACGATATCCAAATCGGCGCTTATTCGATTATATAAAATTGTATCTATAGATATTGTATAGATATCCAAATGTAAGTTCACACACATGGATGTATTAAGCTCTATAACTATTTATGTGAAATATACTTCTTTAAACTTTAGCCAGCTTTATAGATTATACGTTACATGATAGGGTCCATTGTATTTTACACTTGTACTTGAGTCATGTTCGCCTCAAAGTTTTAGTATGCAGGATACCCATAACAACGGAATTAGATTAAGTCCGAGCCAAAACGGAACTCCTCAGCACTTAGTCATCCTCGTCATCCAGGGTTTACGCTCACTTTCGTTCACAGAGAGCGAAAGTGAATGTATGAAAATAACAGACAAATAATCTTCTACATCTTGATACTTTATGGTAAATTTTAGAAATATATCCATTAAATTCTTTATTTTGACAGTATGCCTATTTTCCATGTTAAGAAATGTGAGAGGATGTTTATGTTGTTCCCGTGAATTATTTTCATTTACTTTTATAACGAATACTTAATTGCGCTAATAAAAAAACAGAATTTCTTAAAAGTAGAACAGATGCAACTCACTCGTTTGCAAAATGAAAAGTGTGTCATTTTGGTTGCGTTCCATTTTGGGTTCTACTTGCACTTTAAAACATGAAACTAGATAAAGCCATTACATTAAGCGTCTGCTATAATGATTTTACTAGTCTCCTACCTTACGTGTGAAATTAGAGTTGGCTCCCTTAACGATAAATGACAGCCATATGTTGTTATATATAAACAAGAGCACATGCATTACCACTGTCCTGTGAATCTGAATGGTATGGGAACAGTTTTTAGAAGGTAAGTCTGTAACGATAACACATCCAAATCAAACCATTATGTGTACTCGTTGGTTGCGAGACCAGTCGAGCTCCTAGATTATGATCTTAGTCCTAGGCTGATGTATCTGACCTGTTCTTACATAAATGGTCAAATTCGTGAGTGAAGAATTGGACCGGCGTATGTGTACTAAGTACTGTACCCGCAAGTTACGACTTCGTGTGTAGTTAACAATCATACTGTCTTGAGACTACTGTAATCCATTAGATATACATGTCTACGTTAGACTACAATATATCTTATTATCTACTCTACCACAATCAGATGATACTGTATTGTCTGTAATACTGATTGATTATGTAACTACAGTACAGATCCAGATGATAGATCAACTTAAGTCGATTGTGTACTTATAACACGTTAAAGTTTACATTGCCATAAGAACATGTAATTGTCAACACCTGACTCACATTTTCTTTTCCTGACAGTGTCCAACATTATCTGTACATATATATCCCTCTATTTGACCAAAATTTACCAATCTCTCTTAAAAAACACCCTCATTCAAGTACAAGCTTGAACCACGGAATTAGAATGTTATCTAAGTCCGTGCTTGAACAAACTCCAATTCTACATCCTAGCTCTGTTCACATTATCTCAGTCCTACATATATAGTTACTGCAGGTTGTGTGTATACATAAATAGTACATATACTGATCATAACAGGTTTGTCTGAATCAAATGAATTCATGTTTTTTGGAGTTTTTGTTATTTTGATCATGGACTTATATATAATGGTAGATAGCAGGGTCTAAACTAATTCCATGTTTTTATACAAAATGAAGAAGGGAAAGATAAATTGAGCCAAGCAGTTTCAGTCGCGTTTCACACACTTTCTCCCTCATTGGAAATGTGGAATGAGGGAGATCTCCATTATTTGAGGTTTCAGAGGTTGACGCCTATATGCTGCTTATAATTTTATATGCGTACAGTATTGCATCATCAGAGCTTCTCTTAATTTCTCCTTATTGTGATTAGTTCCTAATTGGTCAGTTAATATAAGGAGATGATACTGTGTGATGGGTAGCACTGATGCGTGACCATGCAGTGTATAATTACAGGCCTGCAGCCACATCATTCCAATTTGATTCATGGTTAAAGTTATGCATGGCCCATCTGCTATTGTGAAACAAGCTCATTAACTAAGGTACATGTACAACAGGACCAACATCTGTGGAGTTGACAGTACCACTATAGTACTAGACCGTACGTAGCATGTTTAGATTAATAGCCACAGTTACCTATAAAGGTATTGCTGGTTATAACAAACACTTATAAACAGCCATCATGTTTGGCACATTATATTGCTCATATTACTAGTATAGTTAAATATAGCTGTATTTCCTATTATGAAGCATACTTTACTAGGTATTTATATTACATTGCTAAATATAGTGGTTATGCCTGACTTGGTTCTTTAGAATTGTGACCCTAATAACTGGAAATTATTATCACATCACAGCATGAAATTTCCTGTCACAAGGTGAGTGACAACAGTCAGAGTCATGTGTACAGATTTCTCTTTTTAAACTCTCTTTTCAAGAGAGGTGTCACATGTCTTATGATCCTGTGATTCACATCTTAGTTTTTGTGAATGGCCTAATTAATATCTGTGAATACTGAAGCTTGTACATACACAGTTGTTCTATGTATATATATAGACAGACATGTATATAGGTTTGTATGTTTTGATGTAGCCTGGGTAAATATAATACTAGAAATCAGGTGAGTAAAAAATATTTTAATGTAGATAAGACTAGGAACAGTTTGAAAAAGAAGGTTTATATTTGATAGGAGCTTAATGTATCGGCTCTCTGTACTAGTACGTTCATGCTCTCAGAACTAGCAGTGTTCATTAGTATTATGCTCAACACAAGCAATTTTAAACATGTACGTACAGTATTATAAATATGCTATTTACTAATATATATGCTGTTGCAATATTATTACAGAGAGCCGATACATAAACGTGTACATGTCAATAAATAGACTTGGTTAGATTACATTTATATTGTAATACTTATTATAAGTTACAGGCCTGATATACCGATACTGAATGGAGTACATGATACAGATGTAGTACAGCCTATTTAATTATTGACCAAAGTCCAGTTGGTATTCAAATTAAAGGTCACAATATATGACATGTTGACAATGAATATTTCTGCAAAGAAGCATTCCATTTCCGAGGTGCTTTTTTATATGCTGTACTGTATACATGCACTTCCCAGGGGAAAAAAAGGTACATTTGAGGTACACTTTTTGGGGTACCTAAGGCATGCCTTAGGTATATCTAAGGCATGCCTTAGGTACATTTTGGGTAGGGAAGAAAAAGAGGACAGAATAGGAGGGGTTAAAACCTGTTCAATATAGGTACATTTTAGGCACATTTTAGGCACAATTAAGGCATGCCTAAAATGTGCCTTTTTTATACCTCTGACTGAGGTATACCTAAAATGTGCCTAATTTGTAC